ATATATATATATATATATGTGTGAATGTATGGGTTTCGCCGATTTGGTAGAGGACCGACTAAGTTCCGACCATATATTCATCGTATTTCCCATCTCAACCAACAAAGCGACGAGCTCGTGGTGCAAGGTTAGAGTGATTAACTCAATGACCGAGGGTCCCGGGTTCAAATCTCGAGGTTTTCAACCCTTGAGATTAGGTAGGATTGGCGGATGACGGCTAGAAAACCATAAACGGCCACTCCGGTCTCCCTTTGCTTTGTCGGATCCATTTCATGTATATTTTTGTAGATGAATTCGAAGAAGTTCGTTTCGAAGCATCTGTCTTAGGCAACAGTGGTTCACAACCTTAATTTCCACCATCTAGCCGTACCTAGCAAAATATAAAACTAAACCGCACGCGATTGCTATTTCGACCCATTTCGACGACTGCCCAACCTTGCCCGTAGTAGAGAATTACACTGTTGGTACCCTCTCACTATTCTGAAGACTGTCCTCGACATAGTTAAAAAACTCTTATAATGTCTAAACTGTAAGCTTCTAATCAAGCGGGATGCCTACGCATGCGAGAGGAAACCAGGGAATTATTTTACTTGTCATTATGTTCATGAATGTTTTAGAGACATTCTGTTAGTTCACTAAACATTTTCACACTAGAAAGCTCGAGAAGAACGAGCATTTTCTAATTCCAATCCCGCTTGGCTTGTTAGTATTGTGTGTGGTTTGGGCCGTAATAATCAATCTGCCTATGTTTTGCTGATCTGGTAAGGGGATGAGTCCGAAATCCCCCCCTTTTTGTCTTGACTTTGACTTACCATCAGAGCTCGAGTGGTAAGGAGATAGGGCGTTAGGTGCAGCGTAAGTCTGCGTCACTTTAAACTGACTACGGCACAGGAGGCTGGTCCTGTCATTACTCTGTTGGGCAAAGGATGGACATAGACCACCATATGATCCGAACAAAACATATTCCTCATACTTGCAATATCTGACACAAGCACGTCCTGGATTAACGTAGGATTCTAAATGGCCAAAACAGGAAAGACGTAGGGCCTGACCATACTTAAGAGGTCACTACTGGTGATAGGTTCCTTGCCCTTTTTCCTTATTTGGTTCCTCGTCTTCTTATCCTATTGGTTTATGCTCACGGACCAATGCTGCTTAAGTAATATCAAAATAATTTCCCTCCTGGGTAAAAGTAGCTTATGTGGGCTCACTCATATACCCCTAGCCCCAGCATTTTGTCCTGCAAAAATTGTGGTTATAGAGTTTTGGGGGTGGGGAAATAGGGTAGGTAGAGAATAACGGTGGTTATTGAGTTTTGTGGGGTGGGGAAATAGGATAGGCAGAGAAGGAAGAGAAGTAAGTGTAAAGTGAAAAAAATGTAGTCGAAGTTGCTTCCCGCGGCCGTTGGGATCAAGTTGTTCCGCATGTAAATTGAAGGTGTGCGTGGCGCTTAGCGCCGCGGACTATACTAACTAACTCCAGAACGGTAAGTTGGACTCCAGTAAGTTGAAGTAGACAACCTCCTAACCACCATTTCAATTTTTCGGCAAATTCAAGAAACCTACAATAATCGGGTTTTTCCGCAATAAGTTAAACGATTATACAGATTAGGAAAATCTTCACATATAAATCAACAACACTTCTAGATACAGTAAAATAAAATTGCATTTAGCATTTATTAAAGTATAT